TTTAACATTTTAACAGGCGCCAACCTTCACCCTAACCTGAAACAGTGGTATCACATTACAACATAAAAAGACACACAATAACATATCAATTGAAATGGCTTAACTCGATTAAAAAGACAATACACCAAAACAAGTAAATATAAACTGAACGAATAAGTTTGATCTATGACACAATATAAATAAAAAAAGATGTTTCAATGTCAAAAATACAACTTTAACCTAGGACAAAATGGTGTTAAATATTAAATAAAGTAACATACACAGGTAAAATTAAATATAATAATTTTGTTGTTAGGAGTACAGAAACATTTTTTACAAAATAAATTTGTTATTTATAGTACGAGTACACAAGTGAAAATGTTTTCGTCATACTAAATACTTATCAAAGGTGGTACATATTAAAAATAGTAAGACGAGATATAACACAAAATAAGTAAACATTGAATAACAGAAATGCATTACAAATTGTGTTAACAGGTCAAATTAACATGAAAGTACGATTTGAGAGTACTCGCAGTTACTGAAAGCTAGTTAAAAGCCAAAAACAAAAAATAATAAAAAATCATGCATCAGAGACTAAAATCAATTAAAACACATCCCAGGCAGGGATTTCGTGTTTTAACGCCATGGACAGTCAAAGAAGACATGACTTGTGCAATGCCAAAATAAAAGTAACGACAGGCAGTAGGATAGTAAGGATTTAACCTTATAATAAATATGTATGATGTTATGTATAAATAAAACACTTTCTAAATAGAAAATAAACGTGGATGTGTATATATACATCCCAAAAAACCATTCGAAAAGAATACAAATTTAGTTATGTTTTAATTTTTTGATGACAAAATCGATGTTAGTGCCTATAAAAAACAATATTCAAAGATCTTATTACAACATTAATAAGTTAACCTTTACTAGTAAGTTTGTTTAAAGGTTCGATAAGTTTACACGGATCACATAGGGATTTCTGCGCTTTTAGTACAATATTACCGTAAAATTTAGGATGTGAAATACCATTTTTAATGAGTTTTCTACAGGTACCACCAAATTTTCTTATCAAATCTTAGTATCTATGAAAACATTTAGTAAATGTTTTAAGTAATTTATGGTAACGAAATCCCTGACTTAATAATTTACCAGTGATGCATTGATTACGTTCGTTAAACATGACATCACTATACACACGGGCATAACGAACGAGTTGGGATATAAACACCGTATGATGGAGCCAAAGGAACATCGCCGTCTAAAAAAGGAAAATTAACAATAGGGAATGAAAAATCTTCTCTTTTGTCGTAAATTTTTGTATGGAGTTTCCTTTAGAAATTGAAATGTCTAAATCTAGAAAAGGACACTTACTGCTGTTTATGTTAAATTTAGTTCAAAGCCAACAAGTAATAAATAAATCATGCTTTTCTTTTAAGGCTTTCTTAATTGAAACTAGCTACTTCCTATGAAGCTGCTTAACGTTCTTGTTGGTAAAGTTTTAATAATCACTTTCGTTACTGACGCCATCATAATTTGATAACATTATGCCCAAAGATCTTTAAATGGTCGAAGCCAAACCCTTTTTATAATTATGCCATTACAGAATGACTCTTATTACCGGGTTTATTAAAGTTACATTGAGCAACACGACGGCTGCTACTAGTGGAACAAGAATTGCTGACCTTACCGTTGCACCTGCTTGAGTCCTGGTTCATTCTAAATTGACAAGCGCAAAGCATCATTAAAAAAGAACTTTTTTCATAAGTGAAAGCCAGGGCCGTAAATTGCCTGTCTTGTAAGGGGAGGCAGTTGAGTTTCGCCGAGCGGAGCGAGGTGAAATTTTTTTTTTTTTGACCCATTTTAAGCAGAAAATGATATTTTTTCGGGCCTTTTCCCTGTATGCAATGTACCTCCTCAGAATTCACCACTTGTTAAATTTTTGTTATATTTCAATAAATAAACGCCTGGAATATATTGAAAATAGTTATAAACCAGAGTTAGATTACGTGTACCGGTAAAGTAAGATTTTTTACGCTTCATCCTGCTTAATGACTCTTCATAAGCTATTTTTACTTAGTTTTAGGGAAACAATTTGCGAACTTAAAATGAAAGGCCCCTAAAGTTGAGCTTTTTTTGTGGTTTATCATGCTTTTTTGGCTGTCCCAATCGAGCTATTTTGACTTCGTTTCAGAGACATAATTTTCAAACCTTAAAATGAAAATGCATAATTAATAACTCATAACTTTTAATTATCAAATTCAAATTATTATAACGTAACACTTTTTGTTTACACTGACAATTTTATTCGGTTAGGCTTTGTCAATTGCTAAGGGGATTTTTCTGTGCCCGGACGATTCCCATCTCTTTAGCACTTCTATGCATTCAATATTGCCAACATTGTAACTTCTATGTGTAGCATAGCCAGACCACGTAATCTGCTTTCCGTCATTGTTGACCTGTTCCATCTCTCACAACTGCAGGACCCAACTGGCAAGGCTAACAGAAGCAAAAGTATTTGTTTTATATTTGGGTAGAAGTGCGTGTGTTTGATTGCTTGCTCTATTGTACATTTTGACCCAATCTCATTAATAGACTTTAAAGTAACAACCAGTGCTATTAAAATAATGCTTGATTTTAACAATTTTTTCTTTTCAGTATTTTTTTCTTCATTTTTTTTTTTTGTCAGTCCGCAATAGGAGGCAACTGCCTACATGCCTCTATGTAATTTACGGCCCTGAAAGCATTATTTTTTTTCTAGAAACAAAGGTTGACGAAACGTAACCGACAACTACTTGGCTGCATGCATGAATGAACATTTAAATGCAACATAATGCACATTAAAAAATAACAATATTTCTTGACAAAACATTCCTTAAATGTGGATTTTTCAAAGAGATGGACTTTCTGCAAATGTATGACCTATTGAAGGACAAAAGGAAAAAAAACATCCAGAGTTATCTTTCTTTTCGTAACACTGACAAGACAAATCCTTTAAAAGGCAGGAATTCTTTAGTTTTTTTAAATACGTCGTTTTAAGTTACGATAAAGCTTTTGTATGACTTAATCGTTAATTTGTTTTCCATTTCTCCGAGAGGGTCCTGTATCATGAATTTTATCACAATCCATTAAATGACAACTGATTACAAACGTACTAACTAAACCAATATAAAAAAGAAGATGTGGTATGATTGCCAATGAGACAACTCTCCACAAGAGACCAAATGACACAGAAATTAACAACTATAGGTCACCGTACGGCCTTCAACAATGAGCAAAGCTCATACCGCACAGTCAGCTATAAAAGGCCCCGAAATGACAATGTAAAACAATTCAAACGAGAAAACTAACGGCCTAATTTTTGTACAAAAAATGAACGAAAAACAAATATGTAACACATAAACAAACGACAACCACTGAATTACAGGCTCCTGACTTGTCTATTTGTTTTTTTTTTTTTCTAGTACGACATTTTTACTATATTATTCGAAAACAGTTTAAAATAAATATGTAAAGATTACCTTGGAGCGTTTCTACTCTAAGTAGCATCATTACCAGCAACATCCATCTATTTGTAAAGGCAAGATACAAGACTAACTTAGCTCTCAGGAACAGGAAAATATCAGCTGGTTCAAATTTTTTTTTTTTTTTTTTTTATCATATATGAATGTTGATATATTTCTTGAAGCCGTGACTTTTCACATTATTTACTACTTGCTGAGATAAATACGTAAACGTTGATGTTGTTTGAAATTTTCATAAAAATACCCAATTTTTTGGACTACGTCATTTCGCAATATATAGCAATGTCATGAAACTAAGACTACATAATATATTTGTTTATTCCTCTGAAATTCTAGCCATTTTCGAAAACCACTAACATCAAATCAACTTCTTTTTAACATAATTCAAATATTAAAGATCATATCATGTCTTTCCTGTATACATGTTTTATATGTTCAAGTAGTGCATCGTTAACAGTTTTAAAATCGACTCTCTTCATATTTTCTTTAAGTATCCACTAATTTGTCAGTTTTGCATCATCTTTACCAACAAATTGTGAATTTCACTTAGAAAAAAATTGACCAAAGATATGAATGGGGATATTGAAAAATCATACGTCGAAGAAATACTGACAAAGAAATACGACAGAAAGACAAACAGCAAACTACAAAATACTACATAGAAACCTAAAGAATGAGCAACAAGAACACCGAAAATAGGGTATCATCACAGGTGCTCTTTAATGACAAGTAGATCCTCCTCAACCATTGACACCCTTCGCATAACTCATGGTAAGCATACATTTGGTGATAAGTCACATTCGATGATTTCGTAATCGAGGAAAAGAAGACGGGATTGTGGCTGCGACAATTGGAACATATCTGTGGTCATCTACGACACATATACCATACGATCAACAAAATCGTGATGGCGGTCGTAAAACTTTCGAAAAGATTTCATCAACTCAACCAATAGGAAATCTAGATTCAAACAATTTTAAACCACTACTGTAGGCTAATGGGCATTTTTTATATTGTTTTTTTCTTCTTTTCTTTGTGCATCGATTATCGAAACCTTTGCTAGACTTACTGTCGAAAAATGTAAAATTTAGAGATTTTCTACTCTTTCGTAGCAAGTGTAAATAAATTACATATTGTATTTTTTCCATCTTGATATTCACACATAATTATGTTATTTTTTTTAAGTTCCCGAATGTTGTATTTTTTCTTCATAGAAATCAACGTTTTCGCGAAAAGAGAGACAAAAAACCGAAATTCAACTGTAATGTAAACTGTGATTTGGTTATTATACAGTTTTTTTTATAATAAAAGACTGATACCAGCGGTTCTCTTCACAAAACAATCTAACGAGTAAGAATATTCATAAATCATGATCAACTTATTGTCACTTTAAGAGCAATGCTAATCGTAAGATTTTTAGATTTGATTGACAAAATTTTTCCTTTAGAGTTATCGTTCCTTTAATATAATCGACAAGAAAGAATGCTAAAATAATTTTAAGTCCTTTTATTCACATAATAAATTAACAAATAATTTAAAATTAAGCGTGAAGAAAAAGCTTCTATGTGAATGAAACCTTATTAAGTACTCTAGCTGAGAGGATGGTAAGATAGAATCATACACCATAAACTGTGTTAAAATCCATGTGATCACTATGATGGAAAAAAATCCAGCTCAAATCAGCAAACTGTAGATGGTTTTTGACAGAATTTATTAAAACAAGTACATAGACCACTTTGTTGATACATTTGTTGAACCAATAACTCGTCACAATATTTCATAAAGATAGTGGTTGTCAACAGCCCTGTCTGCTTTAATTTTATAGAACAACATAACTATTGATATTTGTAAAACATTTTTGTGTAATATTTGAATTTAGTCAAATTGACGTCATGAAACAAAGTCTACACGAAAATCTTTGATTTTTTTTCAAAAAAAAGTTAATTCTAATACAATTGATGTAATATTTACGTCTTTCAACTTTGTTGGAAATGATGGCCTTAATATCTTTTAAGGTGAACCTACTTGACGTACATAAACTCATCACATAGATACCAGGATTGAAATTTTGTATTTGCGTCAGACGCGCGTTTCGTCTACAAAAGACTCATGGCATTATTGTCAGTTTTATCAATCTAATAAAATTATATTCGTTTAAATTATCAATATTCAACAATAATTTTTTAGAAATAAAAGTCAATGTATAAATCAGAAAATGTTATTTTTTTTTTACAGTTACCGAACCAATCAATTGAACCGATACCTGGCTTCTAACCATTTTCATTCCATTTGATTCCTACGAACTTAGCTTAATAAGAAGTTTCACCAGATTTCTAGAAAATTCGTGGTCCTCTTCTTCTTCAAGTAAACATTCCATTTTTCTTTCAACTTCCTTGGCCTTTTCCGGATTGTTAAGTTTTTTCCACATACTTGAAAGGTAGGCAACATGATTTTTTTTCGGTATTTGTTCAATGACCTCTTCGTACTCCAAAATGAATTCCTGAAAAAGTTGTACTTTGTCCATCTTTGTAAAACAGATTGCCATCATCCAATAATATTTCTGAAGCTTTGTCAAATATTCGGTTGTTTGTTTTAAGTTGGATTTTACGATCTGAGACTTTAGTTCTGTGTCCTCTATATCACCCACGTCTACAGTAGCAGTTTCAATAGATTTTCGCGTTTTACTGATCAGACAGCGAACGATATGTGTAATTTGTTCGAACTCATTCTTAATAAGCAGCGAAAAAACGAAATCTTCTATTGGTTCTTCAGGCTTAGACGACGATTTTAGCCGATGTTTTCCGTATTTTCCGTTATAATCAGGACCTAAGAAATCGGCAAAAGTTATATATTTCGAATTGTTTTGTTTCAATACAACATTAAGTTCCTTTTCTACAAAATCTGTAAATGCTTTTCTTGTTTTTCCACCTTCAACTGTTAAAAGAAATTCATCAACAAAGGCTTTAAAATCAAAGCTATTTCCAGTCCAAATTAAATTTTGTTCGAAAGCTTCGGTCAGCTGGAGAAAAACAAATTCTCTATATTTTGGATTGGTTAAGAAGTGGCCTAAATAATAAAATGTTGTAGGATTAAACACGTTTTCAACAACCCAGCAGGCATCTTTGTCGTCTTTGAATTTCTTACTAGATGCCATAACAGAGTCTATTATCCATGTCCACGTCCCCATACCATAGTTTTCGCATATGAAGTGAATAACCATGCACGGAAAAAGCCTGAGCGACTCAGTCGACTCACAAAGCTTATCGACGTCACGTTTGTTCCAGTGATCAATCATATTGTTCTGCTTAATAAAATAATGCGGAAAGTAATGTTGTCTTAACCATGAATGGAACAGGTTTATCATGTACAATACACATCCGCCACAGCTATTCCGCCATGTGTCAGCTGGAATAGATTCGCAGGCGTACAACAGTACAGTTGTCATAAGGTAATTTGGCAAGTGGAAACCAGCATTTTTAGTCTGAAACTTCATCAATGCTTTAAATACATAAAAACAGTATCGCATATCATCAGTCATTTCTTCGTTCACTAGAATTTCTTCTGCTTTAGTAAAAATATACTGAAACTCTACTTCCTTCTCGAAACTTCCCGGGTGTGATTTGTGTCTAATATAGCAACCCGATTTGCAGACTTTTTCTACGATTTCTCTACGAGGCCATACAGCAGAACGATCACGGCTTTTCCAATGGTAAGCTTCAAACGGCCAGTTTCCATAATCAAACCCACCAACATAGTCGACTTTTGAAGTATCACTTCGCGACAATTTTGCTGGGACTCTATATATAAACCATTTACCACTGAGACATTTGGTTATTAAACCACCCTTTGAATCGCCTGAATATTTAATAGGAACTTTCGCTTTCAATCGACAGTATCCTGGGTGGGTTTGGTCAGTATCAATAACAAGATAGTGTTGTTCGCCATCTTCATTGAAAATTGGCATTTCACGTTCATTATCAACAACTTTGTAGTGAGAATCAGATGGAAGCAAGATGTATTCCGCAGTACAAATGTCTGTCAAATCCTTTACTTGCTCTCTCATTGGCTGAGTGAAGTTCATCAATCTAACATTTAGACCTATCTTAGTGCTGCCTATTTCTGCACACTTCAAATCTGCGTCACCTGATACAGTAAGGGGATGATGATGTGGAAGACTGAAGAAATCCGATCGGAGCATTTTTTTCATAACAAATGACAAATGCATGACCGGTACTCTGCTTACAGGTTCAACAAAGTCGACATCTTTAATCAACGAATCCAAAAGATCTATTGAAAATAAGAGAGTAATTAGCACCGTTTCAAGCATATTTAAGTCTAATGACAGTATTCGTTTTCTAATATTTTTTTTAATTTATAAACCCATAAAGAGTCTTCGTCATTCAATGGAATAATTCTTTCTTGGAAATAATCTACCATGACCAAAACATTATTTTTTATATTTTATTTTGCTAGAAAGCACCAGCAATAAGGATTTCCTATCTTTTCGATATAATTATTAGCTGTCACCTTTTGTAAATGAACTACTAATGTGAAGATATTATAAACCGGCATGCTAAGTCTAATTTGAATTAAAATGTTCCATTTAAACCTTTACAAATATTCAGAACAAAATAATTTTTTTAGTTTAAAAAAAGAATAAGGTGATAATTCAAAACTGAACAATTAGTGTATGCAAAAAATTCCAACATTTTGTTACTAAATTCCTAGTTCAAATCCATTGTATACAATTGAGTTTTCATGTCTTCTCAATCGTTGATAAGCCTTATAAATCATGATCATTACTTGGGTGTTTTATTCCTACATAATGTTACTTTTTTTTAAATTTGGTGGTTAGTTACATTAGACTTTGAATGTCAGTTTTAAAAATTCTTTCGGAACATACCAATTATCATGGACGTTCCTAATCCAACGTAATCAAAACGATATTAGTTAGGTCGAAAATAAACGTCATGGCTAAATAAGAAAAAGACAAAAAGACAAACAACAGTACATAAAACACAACATAGAAAGCTGAAGACTGAGCAACACGAACCCCACAAAAACTGGGGGTGATCTCAGGTGCTCTGGAAGTGTAAGCAGATCCTGCTCAACATAATGCACCCGTCGTGTTGCTCATGTAAGTACAAACCCGATGATAAGTCTAATTCGGTAGGTTACATTCGGGGAAATAAAGGGGGACGGGATTGTGGTAATTAGAAATTGATGCAAAATTTACTCCAATAGCATTAACGGTACCAATTTAAATAATCCAAATGCAATTTTCGACAATTAATGTTTCTTCAGTCGAGGCCAAACTACATGATAATCCAAAATCTTATACAAACTCTTAAGAGCTGATAAAAATCAGAAGAACAAAAAGTATAGTCAAATCCGGACAAGTTAAGAAAAAAAAACATGTATCATGTGTGTTTGCATTGGATATTTTTTTATCTGTCAGAATATATATATATATATTCATATAGCAATAGTTAATGTTCTTTCTGAATAAATTAGAAATAGATTACAAAATATAATTACTATAAATAGAATACAATATATAAGTATTTTTTGAAAACATTAAGACTTTAATAATCAATGCAAAAACTTAAATGTATAGCACTACCACACTTATAAAAGACATACGACTAAGAACAAATCTTTTGTACATATGATATTACATGCCATGAATTTGCGAAAACAACGGTCAACTCTACCGAATTGAATTGATTGCGCAATAACTATTTACAAATTTTCGAAGTGATAACATGTGTAAGAAGGGTTATATCAAGCAATTTTGAGAAAGGAAAAATATGATTGATTTATGGTTGTCCAAATATTTCAAGCATATTCAGAACGATAACGTTTTGTATCAAATGAATATACCCCAGTTTTTGCTAGAGCAGCAGGCTAAGCCGGACAAACCTCAAAGGTAACAATGTACGGAAAGCCTGGTCTTCTATTGATTCTAGCCTTTGTTCTTATTATTACATGCCACAGGAAAGTAATTTTAAAGTCTTCGGTTTGATCTGGTTATAAGTGGATTACATGATCTTTGCACTCGATGCGATCGCACGTGAACGCATCCACGAGACCATGATTATTTCATCTACATTAAGAAATATAAATACTTACCAGTATTTCCTCTGAAGAGTTGCCCGTATTGTAAGCTGTCTACATCAATCAAAGAACCTACTGTTGTATCCTTAGAAATGTCTGGCCCTTCTTGACGTTGTTCTAAATATTTTGACATTCGACGTATTTTGGCATCTGTTTGCATATGAATGAAAGAACATACAGAAAAAAATTACTAAAGAATATTTGGTGGAATCAGACTATTTTGTGTGTACATATTTAGATAAAAATGTGCTGTGATGGTACAACGCATATATAGGAAAATAAAAGAATGGACATCTCGATGAACTTTCAACAGATTTTACAATTCATATCTCTTTATAAAATATGTGTATAGATATAAGAAGATGTGGTATGAGTGCCAATGAGACAACTCTCCATCCAAGTCAAAATTTATAAAAGTAAACCATTATAGGTCACAGTACGGTCTTCAACACGGAGCCTTGGCTCACTCCGAACAGTAAGCTATAATATTAATTTATTCACAAAACAAACAATTCTGTAAATTTTTTTTAAAAACTCTTATGACCACATAGGAAACGTTTTATAAATAACTAACGCATGATTGAAGAACCAAAAACAAATGCATTTTATTTGAGAGCCCAAATAAACATGTTGGATAAACATGATTTTAAAATGTGTCATGGGAACTCTCAGTTTGAAATGGCATAATATCAACGTCAGCCATCAGTGTCCAGGTAGTAAGCAGTGTAATACAGATAGCTTTAAATGTAAAGACATAGAACACAATGTATCGGAACTTCGGGGTAGAACATGTCAATGCATGCTCCTAACAGTTATTCATTTTGTTTTATCTATATGTGCCTCTGCTGTGTTACACTGTTACGATTTAAAAAATACTGTAACTTGGTGTCTAGCTGTTTAACATTTGTATATTTTAATTATATATTTATAATTTTAACATGCTAATGTGTTATGCTTTGTGTGTATGTCACGTCTTATCGACACTACATAAGTTGTATAGTCACCATCACGAATTGCTGGGATATGTCTGTGTCTCAACTCGCTAGGAACAAGTATTTTGCAGTCTTAGATCTAATCTGTAAATTTACGGATTTTGTCCTTTTCCCGATAGTGACATTTTGACCCCCCCCCCCCCCCCCCCCCCCAGTTGTTTTGTGTAATACCTTGATTTGCGTTCTTAATCAATTTATGAGACTAAAAAATCGGTTCACTAATGTTGCCATAATTTGTATGTTAGTAATCTAAAACCCGATTGCTTGTTACATTCCATTCAATGTATCAATACTTAGTATAATATCATTCCTATGATCTTAGCAGTAACACATACTCATTGCCCATGTTTTCTCCCAGTCTTTAGGCCTTAAGCTAACATAATGCATTCCAACATGTCCAAGGTACACCGAATCTAAGGTGACTTCATCAGACAAGGTTACAGTGTGTGGAAACAAATGAGTGACATTTTCAGAATTGTTCAGAACGGTTACAGTTCTACCAATCACTTCTGTAATGGCATTCAGTATCATATGGTCACCCCATTCACCGTCTCTGTGCATCCGATTCAAATACTCTTCCCATGATTCAGTAGAAAGGAAGCACATCAGATGAGATCCATCTTCCTGACAAGGGTTTTCTCTAAGATACCTAAAATTTTGCAATGGTCTTGTTAACATATAACAGGGAATTTGTCTAGCTTTAATAACTCGAATCCGGAATACCAGTACTCTAAACTTTATAGCAGTGTTCGGACGTTACCGGGTCCAAAACTAAAATTTACTTCAACATAACATGCATACTAAAATCTCAAAGAACCTATAGAAATGGATTATTGTCCAATATGAATTAGCTTGTAATCATCAAACTAATCCCGAAAGGACAAGTAACATTTTTGAACAATAAAATTAATTCAGCACCAAGTAATATTAAAGATTCTAATGCAATCTTTATCAAATAGTTTTTTTTTCATTGGCAAAAATTTACCATCAAATCCGCAATTAACATGTTTTAGCCGTAATATGGATTTACTAGAAACCACAAATGTTCGATTAATAAAATATAATCGAAAATAAAAAATTACCACACAAAAAATCGTTATAGCGAGATATTATCCATATCTGAATCGTTTAAGTAACGAAATAATATTTGGTTTGGAAGTTTTCATTTATATGGCGTAATGTTTTGCTATGACGTTTATGCGCCAAAAATGAAGTTTTGTATAATTTTATTTTACCTTAAATTAAATCATTTTTACGAGCTCTAATGTATTATTTCTTTTTGTAATGCAATCAGATAGGAATAACAGTACTGTAGTGGACGAGTTGCTACCTTCAATTGGGGTTTGACGGTTGCAAATATCCGTTTTTACGGGCTCCGCTACGTGTCGGTAGTAAAATTGTATTTGACTTAATTTAATTGCATAAGAAATTATGCTTATTTCTGCAAGCTAAAGACTCGAACCCCCACCACCCCACATATTTCATGTCTATAAAACAGAATTATTTTGGTTATTCTTTCAACTTACTCGACGGATTTTGATCTGAGTGTGTCTTTGTTGAATGTAAAGTCTCCAGCAATTCTTAGCTGGTCAATGACAGCATGAAACATACAGTTTCCATCACCGGCAATGTTCCGTACAACCAAACCATGTCTCTCAGCTACAGACTGTAAGGATGGTATCTGCATTAACATCTGATGAACCGGGTCCATACAATCACCTTAATTGAATTACATAAGGCAAATGGTAATATAACGGTTTTATTATATGAGTACATGATAAATAGATCCGATCTCTTTTCTTGCACAGTTATATATCAAAATTATATATAAAAAAAAACCACCAGTAAACACTAGATTTAGAAATATTGAGCCAAACCAGATATCTTTCTTTTTCGGAATGTTGAATTGAAAACGGTTTACAAGTTTAAGCATATACAAAATAAAACAATAGAAACATTGAAAAGGGCTAATCCTCTACAAATAGCATCTCATTTTAAGAGAATTACACAAATTTTCATTGCAATTTCTTTTAAATGTCAATTATCCATATGTTCTAGCCCTAAATATGTGCTACTCGACGTTCTCCCAACTACCTTTAAAAGACGACAGTGGACAGAATAACAGTATTCATGTTAATAGTGTCTTGCGTAACACATTATAAACCTGGTATCTCTGATGATTTTTTTTCACTATTCTTCGAGTTATGGTGTTTAAATAATACGCTTAATGTTTGACTACTACTATAATGCATGGTCATTACTGATATTAAATTCAGTAATGGCTTCTACTTTGAAAGATAATAAATTAGTTTTGAACTTCAGACAATGAATAATTTTTTAAATGAAGAAAGAAATGAAAACAACACGTTATAAATTTCATACGTCCGAAGCGCTTTTCTGGATTGACATACATCAGAAACGTTAAAGGCCGAATATTTGAAACCCAAGTCAAGAAATGTCTATTTGTTAGATCACAAGAAAATGAAAGGCGGACGACGTAAACTTATCAACGATTAAAGTAAAAAATAAATTAAACTTACTTTTGACAATTTTTCCGTCGATGAAAATATTTTTTTTACAAGTTGGACAGGGTAGCTGAACATCTTTTTCGCCCATCATTGGGAGATTTGCCAAGCTTTCTGCAATAACTTTAGGTGAGAAATCTTCAAAATATTTGGAACCTACTGATGAACTTGGGAGAACTTTGAATGGAAAGGAAGCGTACGGATCTTTTCTTTGATCTCCTTTTTTATCTTTCTTTTTCAATTTTGAAGTATCAGGTCTCTCAAGTCGTTTGATTATAATTGGAGCTGAAATAGTTTCTGTTGTAATTGATTTTTCAGGAAGTGTGCTTATAATTTCCAAATTTCTTTCCCTTTGCACTGTAGTTTTCTTTTCCATACCAGATATTGTTTCCTTATCCGTTTCAATACTTGTAGTTTGCTGAATGTCTGTAATCTTTTCATCTGAAGGTAGCTCATCTGGAATAACGTACATTGTAGTTTGGTTTTGAGTTGGATTCTTGTTATTCGATCGCTCGGCATCTATAACAGTTTGTGTCGGTGAGTCGTATGTAATGCGCTCATCGACTTTCAGTGTTTTTGTTTGGATATGATCTTCAGATTTTATTCTTTCGTCGTAAGCAGTGGCACCATTTTGAACTAACTCGTTGACTTTAGCCTTCGTTCCCTCTTGACTTCTAAGTTGTTTATGAACTTTTGTTTTTATGCCGTCGTCTTTTCCTCGAAATGGCTGTACACCAACTTCATCGATTAGCCTGTTGTCGAGTTCAAAATCTGACTTGGGCATCTGCGATTTTTCAAATGAACGATTTAATCCTTTTTGTGATTGATTTGCTATTTCAGTTTTGTCAGTATTTTGCTCTTCTGTTTGTGATATGCTTGTTTTGTGTTCATTAATTGGCAATGCATTGTGAATTTTGTCTTGATATTCTGTCGATGAATCGGTTAGTTTTCCCTGAAAACTAGTATATTTTTGTGATATAACTGAACATGTATCACAATTGTCTATTTGTGCGTCGGTGTTAATTGCACCATTCCTCAGTAACCGTGTACTTTCATTTACCGTTTTTGTAGTGTGTTTGTCTTCCTCGTTATCCTTACCAATGTTATCTAAAATGGAGGTTGTTGCATTTCTAGTAACTTTAAATTCTTTTATACATTTACGATTTCTTGTGTCAAGTTTCGTTTTTTCGTCGTTCATTTTTTTTGATAATTTAGATATATGTTCAAGTTTAGCTATCAGGCTATTATAACAATCAATCTCATTTAATTTTTTATTAGACTCTTTTGTCATTTGTAAATTACGGGGTCTCTTTTCGTCCATAGATAGATTCCAGTCTTTTTTATCATCTCCACTTGACTTGATAATATCAGGTAAAGAGGAAGCAAAGAAATGGTTTCGTTTATAGTTTGTCTTGGATTTTCCATAGTCTGTTTCTGTAAGTGTCTTATCTAAGCTGTCTTTTTCATTATTCGATTTGTACTGCCTTTCATTATCTGGTGTCTGTTGTTCATTATTCAGTGTTTTTCCGTTTTTATCATCCGATCTGTAATGCTTTTTATTTTCTAAAACGAACTGTTTTTCATTGACCGGTATACACTGTTTTTCAGTGTCCAGTGTACACTGGTTTTCATCTTTTCGATCAAACTTGCTACAAGAAGTATCGGACTTATATAGCTTTGAGGACTTTCCAGTCTCTTGATTATATCGTTCTTCACGACATATTTTGCCGGTGGATAATATCTGTGCTTTGTCTTTTCTTAAACTTTCTGCAGATTCTCGTCGTTTTGGAGAAGATCCAATGGACAATAAATCACTTATTAAACTAAATGAGTTGTCAAATTCCTTAACGAATAAACCGTTCTGGCGTCCGGTTGGGGAATTTTTAAGCAATTTATTGGAACAGGTGCCTTGTTCTTTAAATTTTAAATACTGTGATGCTGAACCTGACTGACTATTGCTAGATTTTCCTGATAAATCACATGTCTTCATATCTGTCTTAACAGATGTGTTATGATAAATCTCATCATTCACTGCACTACTTTTGTTGTTCTTTAAAGGATAAATTTTTTCGTCCAGTTCAGTATTGCAATCACCTGTACGTACATTTAGAATGCCGGCATTACAGGGTTCTCCTTCTGATATCGAATTGTTTGATTGACTAGTTCGACTGCTCATTAAAGAACGTTTGGTCTGCTGGACTTCTGAATGGTTAGAAGGCAATGTGTCATCAGTCAGTAGGGAAGATGAACCACAATTATAATCTTTGATCGAGTTGGCATCACTAATTTTGGAAGGACATAATACATTTATCTTATCATCTACTATCGCTGGTTTATCTTCAGGACAATTTGTTGATTCGAGTTTTTGGGCCGACGTTGGACTAACTCGTGACTGAGAAGCGCCACAACCATTTAGTTCATTTGGACATGCACCATTTCCAATTTTTGATTTTAATACTGTTTCTCTCTGAAATGTTATATTATTCTCAATATCATCTGTATGCGAATTTTCCGAATAACTTTTATGAACTGTATTCATAAGTTCTATTGATCTCTCGTCTTCAGTTTTTAGATCTGATTCCTTCTCCTTTTTTCGTAATGCTTTATTTTTTCTTTCTTTGGTTTCATTTTCATAATGTGTTTGTAAGATCTCATCGTTGCCATTTGAATAAGGTCTTACCTGTTCAAGTTCCCATTCTTCAGAAATATTTGATTTATTTTCAATGTCATATAATGTCACAGGTTCTTGGATGTTACCAGCAGGTCCAAAGCTACAGTCCTGTGCTAGATTATCGCTACGAGAGTAGTCTTTCTGTGAAATGCTTTGAGATAAATGGTTATATGATTCACGACAACCGTCTATAGATAAATCGCTTGCTGTATCACTATCGGAATCGTACAAAATTTGTTTATTGCCGATATTGTCATTGGAAAATGAATTGTCTTTGTTCTCGCTTTCAAGCGATCTTTTATATCCCGACAGTTCGGTTTCTTTCTCATCATACCTGATCTCCTGACTTATACTTGACAATGCACAATCCACTGGTGTATTAGATACTTTCAAAACTGAACTTCCGAGTAATTCCTGGATTTCTAACCCATTTTTCCTGTCGGAATGAGGTGGAATGTGTCTTTTCCTTTGACACTTAAGCTTCAAATGGATATTGTCTAGTTTATACAATAATGTATGGTAAATAAATGGCACTCTTCTGTTGCTTAAACTATCATCTATATTATTCATCCTAAATTATGAAATAAACAGTTAGGGAAATATGCTTTATAAGATTTTCAGTAATTTAGATTTAGAAAATTTTCATTTAGATGTTTCGTTACATAAACCACATATTTCCTTGTTGAGTGGAAGTATAGTAAAACAATTTATATTGAAAAGTATTTGTGTTGTGGTAATGTGTTTTATTTTGTGCTTGAAATAGCGATTATTATAGGGAATGGGAAATTGAAACAATACATAATAACTTTATTCGATAATATATTATTCCTGTTAATGATTTTCAGGCAATATTATACTTTAAAACATTTTCAGATAATTAAGTTAGACTTTTATAAGTTTTGCTCTCGATAAATAGTTCACCATTTCAAAATTTGTCTAGATAACGACATTATTCGTGGTTGTGATGAGTGAATATTTTCATTAAAATTTGATTGATTGATTGATTGATTGTTGGGTGTTTAACTCATTACAATTTGAGAAGGATCCGATAGACAATTAAGGCACTGGTATGGCGACAACAAAGTGACGACGGATGGACGAACTGAATGACAGGCTCATTTGACAAAACATTTATACCCCTTGTAGTTAGAGGATCAAAACGAAAATTAAGCATTTAGCATGGTGACAACAAAGTGATGACGGACGGACAAACAGACTTACGGACTGACGGACGGGAAAAGGTCAATTAAAATACAAAACACAATCAGGTTTTACATATTGTTGTTTGAATCTCATACGTGCACCCACAATTTAAGTATTTTACCATAACTTTAGTTAACAACTGAGATATACTAAATAATTTTTTAAACTTGATACAAATTGTTGAAATCAAACATGATTGATCCAACATCCAAGGTTATAAATCAATGTTAAATTCAGTTTCTGGTGGGTAAGCTGTTCTATTATATATTAGATCTGATTAGAATAAATAAGGAAAAATAGTTCAGCAATAATCTGGTTCCTTATATAATATTTACGTATCAAGAACATTCAATTACTCTCTGGGTATTTGTTTTGTTAATTAACCATAGTAGGATTATATAATGCTAAAACTAGACAAAAATGAATCATACCTTCATTGTTGAAAGTTCCCAAAAATGCCTCAATTGAAAACGAAACAGGCTTAGTTTTCAAAAATGGCTGAATTGAAAACGAAACAGGCTTGATTTTTCTTCCTGTGGGTTTTCCCGTGTTAAATTTAGATCCAGGTAATTATTAAGATAAACAGTTCTTTTATAGTAACGATTTTAACCACATTTGAATCGTTGTGTTTATATATATATATATATGTTTATACTTCACATTCCGAATTTGCACATTAGTTCATTGACAAATATTATCATTTTCGAGTTTAAAATTAAGATTGAATTGTACAATGTATGTGTGAATCACAGGGACTCGGTTAGTCCGTCTGTCTGTCTCAAACAAATGCTTTACGAATGACATCTTGAGTTTTTATCGCTTGATCTAAATGAAACTTATACCACTAGATATAAAGAAGGGAAACACGCCTTTACATTTTAATATTAATAGGCCAACCTTCAAGGTCGCTGTTACTAAAATGTATATTTTTTAAACAAAATTAATGCTTTCCGGATGAAGCTTTCCGGATGGAATCTTGATTTTCCCCTGCTTGATATGTACAAAACTTATATCGATTCAAGATATAAGGAAGAAGTTCTAAACTTATTGATTTTAAGGTTAATAGGACAAGCCACAAGGTCAAGCTGTTACTAAAATATTTTTTTTAGGAAAACATTGATTTTTCTTATAATAACTTGAGGGTTCCTTCGTTAGTTTACAAATGAAACTTATATTGATGGAATACTAGTATATAGGTATGAGATGTACCATTTTAGTGTCAACTGTAAAGGTCATAGCAGCTAAGAATAAACTGAAATTACAGAAAATAGAGTTTCAAGCTGTTGTCTCTTGGTGATTTTTTTAAGTACACTTGTTGGATTTTAAAATAACTTATACAAATAATAAATTAAATGAAAGGGACAAGTCTTGTTGACTTTGTGGCTAATAGATGAACAATATATACTACTCGCGATCGTATACTTAAAAATTACAGGATTGCTAACGTTGATTAGAGAATAAAATTACACAGAAAATGATAAAAACAAAACTACACAATAATAATATAAATATCTCGTTTATAAATTATGTAATTCGTAATCCCAAATTAAGGAAATTAAGTTTCACAAAATAAAAAACACCAATATCACAAAATCAAGTTATCGTATAGTTTTACCGTTTAATCTCGTATAGTAGCCAGAGAGGTGAAGGTCAAGTGTTTATGCATGTAAACAAAATCTTTATTTAACATATGCTTCAAATCAGACTGTATACTGTATATTTATTGAAGAAAGTCTGTACACAGGAATAATGTGCAAGGATAGAAGTTCACAACTTGATAGAGTATCGGTTAATAGTTTTGAAATTATTTTTTCAATCATGAAATTTTCCGTCTTCTCATTTGTCATATCGCATATGTCCCGATTATCAGGTTGTCTGCATATTGATATTGTAAAATATCAGCTGCTTGACACAATATGAAGCCTTTTTGAACTCGTTCGCTGCACTCACTCGACAAAAAGCTTCATATTGTGACTCGCAGCTAATATTTTACAATATCAATATGCCGACAACCAGATAATCGATTTATCGAGTTGTATTTGCGTATTTTGCATGATAGAAACAAGTGGTTTTTTTGTTCCACCAGCAAACCGGAAGATGACTTGATAAGTACGGGTCAAACTTATCAACGTCGGTTCATACATTACATATGACGTCGCTGATATGTCCGGGTCAAAATTATTAAGGCCGGGTCAACGTATTTGACGTCACAAAGCCGTGATATGCAATTGTATTAAGAGCTGAGCAGAGTGATACAGACAGTGGGACGACCGATAAATAGCATATATATTAAACATCAAACCTACACCAACGAGACGTTGAACCTAATAAGATAATTATCCCCGTCACTCACCCAATTTTGTGTATAAAACTTCTCTGAATAATAACAATTTCATTCCATTATTTGTCGTATTTGGAAATACTGAGATAACATTAGTTGTAATGTTTTGATAATGATCAATTACAGAAAATGTCTAGCGTCTTTTGAGCTTATCAATGTGTCTTCGAAACTGTCCTTTACACAATTGTTCCCCTTCGTCTTTCCTTTTTGAGATGATGTTTGAAATACAAAATGAGGTTAAGTATTAGGTGGTGTAGGCAACAGTAGTTTACCAATATTTAAATTTCTTAAATCCATTAGAAGTATACAAATCGGGGTAAATAAAATAACTGAGGAAATCGAAAAAAACAGGGTAAACGTCATGCCTTACTGCCATGCAAATCCACACTCATTCAAAATTTCACAAACTGTTCAAACGTAGATATAACGTGTATATTAGTTTAAAACCTATATGTGCGCACAATATAAAAAAATACATAAGTCAGAGACATGTGATTGATAACAATTTCATAGGGTAATTATTGTTTTGTTATGTCCTTTTATGAACTTTGCCTTTTTCACAAAAATAACAGATTATGTGATATCTTCAAAATAAACAGTAATTTGAAATTATGAATTCTACAATAGTATTTTCACTTTAACTTTACACATTAGATTAATAACAAATAAAACATCAAATAAATATTCAATGTCTATGATTATGTTAAAAGTAGATTTGTGTAGATTAATTTGATGAATACTCAACGGATCAATATACAATGTTGTTAAAGGATTTTAAAGAATGTTTTCTGTGTTTTTTTCATACTCTTTTATAATACATTCAATCTACGTCCTGATTTGAAAAAAAATATTCTCTGAAACTGACCTTATCAAGATGAATGATATTTTGTATTGCAACATATCATTCGCGATTGTTTCACGTGTTTTCAAACAGACACACATTTAACCAAATGTGCTCCACTATTTGTTGATTTATATCCTTTCGCTCTTCTAGTGATTTCCTCTTACTTTTTTGTAATTATGTTGATCACATCATACCAATGCACTTGAATAAAAGATACCATTCATACTGTTAAAAGATAAGAAGATGTGTTATGATTACCATAGTGCAACAAACGACAACCACTGAATTACAGGTTCCTGGCATGGGACGGGCACATAAAGAATTTGGCGGGGTTGCATAATTTAGTGTCAGCTTCACATCTAGACTTACATCTTGAAATCGATAGTTGAGGCTCAGTTGAAAACTAAACTGTATGACAAAAAAGCTTTTCTCAAGGCGGCCATTTCTTCTCTGTGTAGCAACATTTCAGCAGCACTTGAATATGGAGTATTTATCTCCCAGGTGAGACGATATTCCACGGCACCCGTTACCTGTCACTATTTCTCATGTAGAGGATTGCTGCTACATGAAAACTATTGGAATGAAGGTTCATAATGGTTAAGCGGAAGCCATCTTTTCGAACTTTTAAAGGACGCCATAATTATTGGTTGACCGCTATAGAATATCTGTGTCACAAATGACCTATATGCACCAACTTTCTTGTAGCCATTCTCATATACTCTAGTACTAGTCCTCGATTGTGATCTCGCCAAATGCGCCTTATTACCTAGTTTTAACTTGCCATGAGCAACACCATGGTTGCTACTAATTGAGCAGTTACTGCTTCCGTCTCTGGATCACTTGATTTTTTTACAGGATTTTAGTGGAGTTCATGTTGCTTAATCTTTATCTTTTCTGTGTATTGTTAAGTAAATTGTTTGTTTGTGTTTTCAATGTTTTTTCTTTTGTCCATGGTGTTGTCTGTTTTTTGTTTTCGCGTTATGATTTTTGATTGCCCTTTTTGATATTTTCTTCTCCTTTTTATGTCCAATAAAATGCTAATGCACCATGCTCATTTAAATATAGATATATTACAGAAAGATCTGACACATACCAGGTGAGGGAGAAAGGTTGCTTCGAGGCTATAGTTTTGATTCCCCTGTTGTTTTATCACGCATGTAATTTATTTGTTTTAGTTTTTTACTCCTATATTTTGGTATCTTTAATATTTTGTAAGAATAAAAGGATGTTCTTCAGTTGTGCAGGGGGTTTCAGAACTCAGTTTTAAACGATTTTTACTTTTAGGCACTGGTTATTTAATTATTTTCTTGTGGCTTATCTGAAGTCCACATAAATTATTTTCTGTTCAAAGTACGTGATAATTGTTCTATTATGACAAAAACTCCCGGAAAATTCATCTTCCGGCAATTGACGTTCCATCCATTGGAACGAGAAGGTATCCCGTAAATGAACCATATATTTCATTGGCAGCTCCAAATAATCTTGTACTGTAGTCTTTCATGTCGATATAAACAATGTCCCTATATGCAAGTTTCAACACTGCGGCATTGCTGCCGTAAGAGAAAAGATGACCTTTGCCATATAAAGAATTAACATAGACATAGTTATGATACAGTTCAAGCCACATCTGTTCGCCTTCCTGTGATAGAGCATGATAGCTAAAGATATAAACACCTGGAACCGATGCAGTGAAAATGCCTGTGCTCATATTGAAATTGCCGCCATGGTTAGAGTACAATTTATCCCATACTACTTTTGTCGTATGTCTTCCATCATTTTGGTTTTTTGTTAAAACTGCGGAAAAGGCTTGGATCTGATTGGCATGATGACCTAAAATTTAAAGAATCATTAACTTAGAAATGCTATTGTCATTCTCATTCTCACATTCGAATAAATGCGTATGCTTTTAAATAATAACTGTTAATACTACCTTTCAAATGCATCAGTAAAAATATCACAAACAAGCGCGCCCATCAGGCAAAATAGAAAGAAAACACAAAAACTACACTACCTCAGAGATCAGCATTTCTCGTGCATTCATTATATTGTTAATTTGATTGGTTCTGATGTCACGTCAGATTAAGTGTTTGATGACGTCTCACCTCTACGTACAATGAAATTTACAGTCAGTGGACTATTAGGAGTGCATACACCAAACGAAATTCAAAATGGAAAATTCATTTTGCACACGGCTTCTCTCTTTGCCACCAGACATTTGGATATATTGATGACGTTATTTATCAGAGGAAGCAGCTGAATTTAAAAGGAACAGAAAAGGCCCCCAATCTCTCTTCTTAAATGAACGAAATACGCATACTTAGTTTGTACTTGACCATTAAGGATCAGCCTCAAGCAATTGGAAAAATGGGAATAGCTTATAATACCACCTATTTAAAATAGCTCGTAGGAGCAACTCGGTTTGTTATAGAATTCCTTTTTTGATAGATTATGATGGTTCCACTGCTAGACAGTTTATGCAATTTTCAGACAAATGAAACAAAAGCATCTAAATTTCATTTGAAAATATATATCAATGCTTTTAGAAATTATACTCAAATAGACGTTTCTATATCATTGGCTTTCAAATTTGTGGCTTTGGGCGTTTCTGATGAAGATAAATCTAGAAAATTGTCTCAGATGCACGCAATTTATAATTTGCTATTTGCTTTTACTAGAACAGGGTCTATACAACTGCTGACGGACTGTTAGTCATAGATTGTCTCATCAGCCCAGTAGACAGTTTTTCGATACTGACATGATTAACAACATACTTTTCTAAAATTCCCTGTTGGTTAATCAACAAATTATTTAGAAACTAATGTTATACTCCTTCAGACAAAGTTGACCTTAGATCAATATATTCTTATTTGGTACCTTTTGGTCATAAAGTTCCTCACATTTCGACGTATTTATACATCCAGTTCTAAAAATTTTGGCTTTGAGCCTTGCTGATGAACATCAATCTAGAAAAGCGCTACGGATGAACGAAATTTATAAAGTGTTAACTTTATTTCTCAATTATCATAGATTTATGCAAAAGAAACGCAGACTCCATCTATACTACTATTTAGAAACTTAAATATATATAGGTATATAACTAATTACAAGGAACATATAGTATTACACTACCTGATACTGCGGTGTTCTGTTCAGATAATTTCATGATTGAAAATGTGCAGTAAACATCATTAGGCTGTCCAGACAAAACCACACTTTCTCCAGAACGACTATGAACTCTTAATCTCTCTCCAGTTCTCATGTCCAATATAGCGCTGTTTCCTGCATTTGCTTCCCTGTGCGACAGTTGTCCAAACGCCGAGTTCACATATTTATTATTCAGATATAATTCTAGGAATATTTTCTGAAAGAAATGGGGAATACGTTATCACTGGCTAAGCCAATGGTAAATATGCAACTAAACATTTATAAGTCGTATAATTGATTCCTAGTATTCTTTTAAAGTACTCAGCAGTCAACATCAGGGATGACTATTTTGTACTTATATGAGAACACGACGGGTGCCACATGTGGAGTAGAATCTGTCTACCATTTAGGAGCACCTGAGATCACCCCAGGTTTTTGATGGGGTTCGTGTTTTTCAGTCTAGTTTTCTATGATGAGTTTGGTATACTGTTGTTTGTATTTGGTCGTTTTTGTTATGCCATGATGTTGTCAGTTTATTTTCGACTTATGAGTTTGAATGTCCCTTTGGTATCTTTCGCTTTTCGTCCATATAAACTAAAATCACGGGAAAGTTAGGGAGCGCATGGCAATCTACCGCAGGTCATGACAATATTTTCCCCTTACAATCTGTTCACGTACTGCAATTGTAGAATGCTGTACACTTATCCAAAGTTTTAACGTGCGTGATAAAGGATCTGAGGAAGGCAGTGGGGCGCATAACATTATAGTCTAATCATGAAACCATTTTTTCGATGCCCACTGTGCTGCTATTGCGATATTCACTTTGCGGAATGTACCATATTATACACATTGAAATTTTAGTAAGAAGCAGCAGAGGTATACATATGTTAAGAAATCGTAAATTCATTATTAAAATATAAATCAGAATTACAATAAATTGAGGGAAACTTTGACATGGTAAGAGTCACCTGTTGTATCTTTAAAAAAAGACGTTACCTGCTTATGGAGTAAAATCCACGGAAATATATTGATCACATTACGCTTAAACAAAGCTCATGGAACAATTTTACTCATTGCTCTATGTACAGTTTGTATGAATAATGAATCTAAAAACTAGATTTGCTGATTGGCACAGAATAACTAGTTGACGACCACAAAATACAAACTCTCAGTAAATATAACATGTTCTTGGCTATTTCTGACCAGGGGATTGAAAGCAATGACAAACTGTTTCCTATTAATCATTATATATATATATGTACACGGATAATGTTCACAAACATCATAAAGGCGTTTCATCAATATATTTAATGCTTCGCCTGACTCTGAATAAAAGATAGGCGAAAGATACCAATGTGATATTCAAACGCATAAGTTGAAAACAAACTGAAAATGCCATGGCAAAAAAATTAAAAAAAACGACCAAGACAAGCAACAGTAAACAAAACACAACATAGAAACTAGACTGAGCAACACGAACCCACCAAAACCAAGGGTGATCTCAGGTGCTACATAACGTGATAAATAATTAATAACATTAATTCAGTGTTAGTGAAAATTTTTCGGGTAAAACCACTTGGATGAAACATTGCTTAATTGATTTTTTATTTTCTACAGCTCCTAACAATTCTGATTGCTATTTGTCATTTATTTTTTTGTTTGCTTATTGGTCTGTTAGAATTAACTCCTGTTCTAAAACAAATACCTACATGTCCAGGTAGTGAACGTGCAAAGTAATGAATTAAGAAAGTTCCATCTATCGGTGCCTCAAAATATCCTGTGCTGCTATCATATCCATTTCCAAGGTTTGTGAAGACTTTATTAAAGACAACAGTGCCACCGTGGGGGAGGGATATGTCATGAGTAAGTCCGGCCGTGACGGCAACAGGGTTTGAAGCACCTGAAACAGTTCGGAAACCATTTGTAGATTACATGTAAATAAGAAGAAATAATTGTTAACCGATTTTCAAATCTCATAAATCAATTAAGAAGATACAAATCAAGACAAAAGAATAAATCTGAGGGAATCACATGTACATCAAAATGAAAGAGACAAGTGCGTCGAAAGGGCAAAGTCTGTTATGTTTGCATCATACACTCCGTCAAAATATCACAATCAGGAATAAATTATTAAGTAAAGACTTCATTTTAAATGTGAAGCACGTTTAGCAAAAAAGTTGTTAATCTCTCCTGACGCCCTCGTACAATAACATAACTAAACATTAATGATATCGATAAATACAAATCTATACGCAGACTTTGTGATGAAAATCGTAATGCTTCTAATGTTCATTCATCGTTGCGAGAAACTTACATTGAAATTATTGACAAGAAAATGCCGGAGCCTGGTTTTCGAAAGTATCCTAAGATTTTTCCTGAGATATATCTTATGAAAGACTTTGGAACTATCATTGTACCATCCTATAATACGTATTAGACTCTTAATCAAAGCTGTCCTAAGGTAGGCATTATCAGACTGGGTTATGGATAATCCTTAGTTATTGTTAAAAGCATTGTGTGGTCTTTTACATTAAAATGATACATGTACTATGTATCAAAGTAAAAATACATATCTCATCAGTAAATGTTTTTTCTTCTCGATTTAATTGTAATGGAAACCCATTCTGATTATCCTGAGACTATCTAAAGACACGTATTTTGATTCTCATTTAAAGAAATTTTTAGGATGCATCCTGACTTAGGACAATTTCAAAAAAAAAACTTTGGACTAAGATATGTCATACGATTCTATTAGGACATGGTTTATTCCTTAGATATCTTTGAAAGCCAGAGCCCTGATTCATATCCATTACTGCTTGTTACGTTCAAAATATGTTTGGCATATACCAGCATTTTATCATAATAGCCATTTCGTTTATTTGATATAAAAAATAGCCATTTCGGTTATTTGATATAAAAATTGTTTCATAACATTAAAATCACAAATGGCATGTCTGCAGTTAAGGACTAAATTATTTACTGTTATTCATAATGCGAATTGTGACCTTAACTATTCTGAATATTGTTCCATACCATTGAAATCACAAATGGCATGTCTGCAGAAAAGGACTAAATTATTTAATGTTTCATAATGTGAATTTTGACGTTAACGATTCTGAATGTTTTTGTATTGTAGCATTGAATAATAGTTACGTTTTTTCAAAGTTTTCTCCTTCGTTTATTTATTAAATGTACATGTTTAAAAATAAGGAGATGCTGTACAATTGCAAAAGAGACAACTAATCACCAAAGACCAAAAGACAAAGACGTAACCACCTATATGTCACCAAAGAGCCTTAGTTTTGAAAAGATAGTTAGTTTTATCATTTCATGATTTCTTATACCTTTTACTTTGCAAAGGATTTTTAAAAGAAAGGGCCTACTTAAAATACATTCATAGTTTAAGAAGAAAACAAATACTCCCAACACAGCATAGATGCATTTGCCATCATCGTTTTTTTTTTCTAGTTTGTTTTAAAAGTAAACTAGAGGCTCTAAAGAGCTTGTGTCGTTTACCTTGATCTATGTGCATATTCAACAAAGGACACCCTCCAACATTGTAGACGAGAATAGAATTCATGACAAAAATCTCTGTTTAGTTGATCTTGTATTGCTGATCATTTAGTCTGTTTAGTTTCTCTCTATCTTCTTTAGTTTTTGGTCAAAACACAAAAGAGGGTTAAAAAAATCCCCATTTAAGGACAATCACTCCTATGAAGAGTGACAGTCTACTAACTGTATCGGCAAAATTTGACTTGTTAGTAGATCTTGCCTTGCTGATCATTTTTTGTGATTTAAAGTGTCTATTTATCTATTATAATTTTTATCATACAAGCCAAAACGCAAAAATGATTAACATCGTCATTAAAGGGTAATAACTCCAATAAGAAATCGTCAGCCGATTTCCTCCATATTTCTTTATTGCAGGTCTTGTTTTGCTGATGATTTTTGCTTATTTAAGTTTCTATCTATCTATTATAAATTTCAAGTTATAAGGCAAAAACGCAAAAAAATGGTAAAAATTGCCATCAAAGGGCAACAACTCTAATGAGGAGTCAACTGACGATTTCAACCATTAGACTTAGTTGTAGAACTTGTCTTGCTGATCATTTTTGCATTTTAAAGTTTCTTTCTATCTATTATAGTTTTCAAGATAATATGCAAAAAAAAAAAACATGGTAAAATTTGTCATTTAAAGGCAATAACTCCTATAAAAGAGGGGCGAAAGATACCAGAGGGATATTCAAACTCATGAATCGAAAATAAACTGACAACGCCATGGCTAAAAAAGAAAAAGACGAACAGACAAACTATAGTACACAAAACACAACATAGAAAACTAAAGACTAAGCAACACGAACCCCACCAAAAACTGGGGGTGATCTCAGGTGCTCCGGAAGGGTAAGCAGATCCTGCTCCACATGTGGCACCCGTCGTGTTGCTCATGTTAGTACAAACCCGGTAAATAGTCTAATTCATTAGGTCACATTCGTGAAAAGGGAACGGGATTGTAGTTACGACATCAGGAACATATCCGCTATCATCTGTGAAACGCATATTCCATAATGGTCAACCAACTCGTGATGGCGTCCGTAAAATTTACGAAGGGATGATTTCAACTTCACCATTTAGAACTCTTGGTTTAATAGCTTCCTTGTGAGCAGCAACCCTCTATCAAGGAAATATAAGAAGTCGTCTGACAGTTTTGACGTATATGGACAATTGGTAGAGCTCAACATTTTAAACATTTCTGCTCTGGTCAGATTTCCCTATTGATAATGGTTTTCAAAATAATAGACAAAACTTGCATTTTCTCCCTATGTTCTATTTTTAGCCATGTCGGCCATCTTGTTTGGCAGGCGGGGTCATAAGAGGTCATCAGACACATTTTTTCAACTAGATACCCCAATGATGATTGTGGTTAAGTATGGTTAAATTTGGTTCAGTAGTTTCAAAGGAGAAGATTTTTGTAAAAGTTAACGGACGACGACGACGACAGACGACGGACGCCAATTGTTTAAAAGCCCACTTGGCCCTATGGGCCAGGTGAGCTAAATAGGGGTAGAATATTTTATTTTGAAACGTATTGTTTGAAGATGACATAGAGTTCAGATATTTGTTATAAATAAATAAAGGATTGTATAAACACCTTGGCAGATTTGCATTTATTTTTGCTTTGTGAACATTTGAAGAAATACATGTCGCCATCAACACTACAATTAAACTCTCACTTAAAAATATCAAAAACTCACTAGACCTTCCAGAAAATGTAAGTCCTCCAGTGAATGTGGCATAAATCTCTGCAACTCTACCAAAAACGGGGAAGCTAAAGTGATTTGTGGCCTGAACGTAAACAGTATCTCCTTTTTCCAACTGTAGTATTACTGTGTTCCCAGCTGTATCAGATTCATGGTGTTCTTTGTCGGCGTAGATAGAGACAAGATACATATCATTTCTGTATAACCTCATCGAATTTTTATCAGAATTACTAAATACGAAGAAATGGAATACATATATTCCTGGAACTTGGACCTGGAACTTACCATCACTTTTAAACAAAACATTGATATTGGTAATGTCTTTTGGATATGTAACTATTGTACTTTTTGTAAAATGTCCATCCTTGTCAAAACCTTTTGTGAATGCCACAACGTCTTGGCCGTAAGCTGAAACCAATCACAATATATGATGATATTGATTGAAAGTTTAAAAGAATTGCTATACGTATCCTGAATATTTATCAAGTCTTTAAAACCGAATTCTTGAAATGATTTTGTAAAACATGCATATGTAAAAAAATGTATTGATTCTTTTATCGTTGGTTAACTGCATATTAAAGTAAATACATATCTATACATAGGTTTATATGTTTTTTACAGACTTCCCTTCCCGGTTTACGTTATAAAGGAAATAACTCTTTTAACAGCCGACCTACACAAATCTGAGTACTGCATACATTCACGAATAATGAAACTGATTTCATTTTATTCCAATGGAAATTGTAAGAAACAGTGCGCTTCCCGATATGCTCAGTCTTTAGTTTTTCCATGTAGTGTTTTGTAAACTGTTGTTTGTCTTTTCGTTGTCTTTCATTTTATACAATGGCGTTGCCAGTTTATATTCGACATGTGAGTTTTAGATGTCCCTTTCGTATACTTTGCCTTTTTTTTTTACAACGGTTTTGATCGTAACCAAAAGTATGAGAAGCTAAGAAAACGGATATGTTATTACAGAATCAAATGAAAATGCCTAAATAGAACAGTTAAATTCGGTTAAGTTAGCGTTGTCAGTTTGTTTTTGATCTATGAGTTTGACTGTCCCTCTGGTATCTTTCGTCACTCTTTTATCTATGCCAGTGCATAAATTTAAATCTAAGTTGTTTTCCATTCGTTTGATGGTTTGAGCTTTTGATTTTGCCATTTGATAAGGGACTTTCCGATTTGAATTTCCTTGGTGTTCGGTATTTTTGTTATTTTACTTTTTATATAAATAAATCAATTTATTGTCTAGCTTACCGACTCCGAAACTAGCTGCACAAAAAATCCATAAAAGCATAGTGAATATTCTAGTACACTAAGAAACATGTTCTAATAAAGTCACTTGAAAGAGGTCAACATGATAACACAGAAATAGATCAAAGCAGATAGATATTAATAAGTACAAAAGAAATCCTTTGATAATCAACAAATATTAGTCCCTTCAAAGATTCTGCATTGTGTACAAGAAAATTTTAACAACCAAATTGAAAAAAAAGGAAAAGAAGCTCAGGTAAAAACTAAAGAGACCTATTAGATCTTTATGTAGGATACTGTCCTATTTATATGACAAAAGAAAATGTGGAATATCCGTCAATATGTTAGCAAAACACAAGCAAAATACATCTCTATGTTTACTACTTGGACCAAAAGTGTCTCGGTTCCTTAGTTCAAATTTAACATATATCTCAAACCTTCCCATTTTCAGATATCATGCTCCTTGTGGAGCGCTTATCATTGTTTTATTGTGTTCTTTAAGGCTAGTTCAACAGCACCAAGAAACCACAAAGTCGTCAATATTTCAATTCAGATCAAGGATAAAACGCGATAAAAGTTTTCGTATGACAAAAAACATGAAATAAGTTATCAAACATACCTGTTCGTCTAATATTATTTTAAGATCACGAAACTTTCTTAAATTGGATGAAAGCTTGATATGTATAAGCAATAGAATTAAAAGAATCGAAATTTTAGGTTAAATTATTCATCAATATTAAGTTGCATTATTGTTGCTACAATTAGCAACGGCTTATTTAGGTCTTTTCCCTACGTTATTGTTTTCCTAATTTATAGAATAATGTTCTGTATAAAATTGACTATTCGAAAACAGTAGCCAATGGGAGTGCACTATGTCTTCAACCGAATCTACTATTTCGCATGGGCAATTCTAAGTACAGATTTATTATATTTTTTTTATACTGATTGTCAATTTTCAACTTAACCAGTATACAAATAATCTCAAGTATAACTCTTTTTTAACTATAGCATGAAACGAAAGATACATTCTCAAATGATTTGAAGCCGCTATACAACATTTGTTTCAATCAAATTTAAATTTTTATTTCGGATCGATTGAAATATTTTACTTTCATTTAGCGGTTTGAAGATACAGAAAACAATTATGCTATGTCCCGCTAGCTCATGTGGATATACTAATGACTATTAATAAAAGCTTTGCTGACTATCAGTATGAATCGGTTTTACGATTCTATAGCTAAACAATGACCATCGATTTGTAAAGAAACTCTTCATAGTTTCAAATAGGAATGTGTATATTTCTTATCAAATTTAGGCAACATTAGTTTACCAATGTTCAACGCTCACCAATCGAAGAAAATAAATGAAGATAACACACAAATATTGAGGAAATTGCATGACCGAGCCCGGATGTGTCGACAGGGTAACCCGGAAAGCATGAACAAAGTAAATATATCATTTTCGTGCACTCAAATTAAAATTTATTGGGCAGCCTTCACATCAAGTACAGTCGAGTCAGGACATTTTTCTGTGGAAGCCTTCATATCAGGGACAATCTGGTTTGGATGTTATTGTGTGGAAGCCATAACACCAGGGACAGTCGCGTTTGGATATTATTCTGTGGTAGCCTTCATATCAGGGACAGTCGAGTTTGGATATAATTTTGTGGAAGCCTTTACTTACTACAGGTACAGTCGAGTTTGAATGTTTTTTATGGTAGCCATCATCAGGTACAGTCGAGCTATGACTTTTCCCTGGGTAGCCTAAACATCCGAGACAGTCGCATTAGGATGCTTTTCAGGGGTAACCTTCACATCCGAGACAGTCGAGTTAGAAAAACAAATATGTAAAACGTTTGATCAAAAAAATTTGAAGACGTTCAAGGACATATAAAGGAGAATTCATATAGAAACTTGTCAAAGACAAAAGGAAAAAGCATCTTGAAAAGTTCTTTAATTTCACTTTTAGATATATTGATGATGTTTTGTCACTCAGTTTCCTCACTTGAATGAGTGTTTAC